ACATTTTTAGCCCTTAGAAAATTATAATTAACTTAGAAAAATTAGGAAAAATACTCTGATGAGTCCTAAATGATCAAGACACAATTATGAACATTTTAGATCATTTTTGTGTTTTTTCAATTGTTAATTATTTTTAATTCAAAAATATGCTAAAAAAATAAAGTATTTACTTTAATATAAATTTTTTTTCCTAAATGACCCTGATCACAAGGAACCCTAAAAACCAATTTTCATAATTTTCCTAATTATATTTAATATAATATAATTATTTTAATACAAAAAATGACCATTTTACTTAGAAAATGAATTCTTATGATAAACAAACTCCAAATTGATTCCAATTTTTTATAGTGAGTTAATATGATTATTCTTTACAATGTGGAATTGATTTTGTTAAATTTTGAATAATATTTTTATTTAATTAATTTATTATAATTTTTATACATTTAATTAACTATAAAATACACAAAATTACTTAAATCCATTATATATTTTTTCTAGGATCCTCTTGCCAGGGAAAACTTACCAAAATTAATCCCATAGTTTTTTGATTTATATTTTTGCTTATAAAATTATTTCAAACAAAAATAACCATCTAGGCTTGAAAATTAAGATTTTAAAGATTGAGATGTTCACTGGCCTTAGAAAATCAGAGAACATCCCTATTAAGATGAGGAATCAACCCCTAAAATTTCAAGTCATGGTGATTTTTATTTAGCTAATTAAAATTAAAACATTAAAAAGAGTATTTAATTAATTAAAATCAGAGACATATCAAATAATTTTTATTTTTATTCCACATTGTTCTTCTCTGTTCACTGAGCAACATGTATTTATACTTTATTTTTATGATTTTTCTACACAAAGATATGGATTTTTGAAGTTATCTGAATTAAATAAATTATATAAAACATTTCTTTTCTACTTATCCAACTCAGCGCCACCTCATTCTGGGCAGCGACTAAAGCCCACGCGTTGCCTCTGAATTGGTCGCCTCCATCTGAGTCAGCCCGCACTTTATCTTTCATTTGTTCATCTGGCTTGATCTGTAGCATCCATCCATTACACTTAAGATCAGACGGTCCTGGTCCATCGTCCTCAATTGGCCTAACCCGTAAACCATCTACATTAAACCTTAATATCTCTACCTAAAATCAACAAAATCACTTTTGGTTTGTTCCTACACCTTCATCTAGTTTAGATGAACATATCCATATGGTTTATTAACTATGAAATTAAAATTTTCTTCACAAAGGACCAAACCGATCTCGATTTCTGGAATACCTTTGCTTGAGAGGCGTGGCCTCAATCAGGAGCTTGCAAAAGCTTTGTTGGGACCTGACAAACCTCATGGAAGTGTTGCTGGGCTTTGGGGAATTTTCTGTGCAAGAGTTCTTCCTATAGGTGGGAAGATTGAAGAGAAAGTCTGGTGTAGAGGTGCAATGAGATGGCACTTTCAATGGAAAACTTCCTCTCTAGCTCTGGTGAAGCCCAGGGAATCGTCAATTTGAGGTTTGGTGGAGTTTGGTGATGTGTGATGTTTTTGGCTTGATTTTGAGCTATGAAATTGAGCTCAGACAGTGGTGGAGGTGGCTGGAAAATGGCTGAGTTGAGCTTAGGAAGGCTGGGAGAGTCTCTGGGAGCAACCCTAGGTTTTTTTTCTTCTCCTTAGTTGGTCGTGCAGTGGTGATTCTTAAATAGAGGGACTTAGGGTGGATGGTTGAGCTTCAATTTAGATGCAATCAACTGCTTATGTGAAGGGGTTAGCGGTGCCAATGACCAGTTGGAGCTGGACACATTAGATGGGTGTAATAGGTTTGGTTTAAGATGGGGTGGCTCTTGATTTTGGGGTTCTCCGGTGACTAGGCCGGCCGACCAGGTCTGACCTGGTGGCTAGGGTGCTCAGGTGAGCCAGAGGAAGATTAATGGTGAATAAGATGAATTAGGGATGTCTGCTGGCAAGGATATCTTTGGTTTAGCCCAAAATGAGGTGAAATTCTTTAATTTATGGGACCCTTGATCCATGACTCAACTAGGTTGGGCTAGGTGTATCTATGTTGGTTCCTAGGGTCCAACTGTTGGCTGTGGTGGGGTTGGGTTGTTCAATTTGAGTTGATTTGGTCAAATTTGGTGTTTGGGTCCAAAGTTTGGATTTTCGTTCAACTAAGGTCTAGGTTGGGTTTGGGCTAGGATTAGGGTCAAGTGACTGATCAATTTGGCTTGGATGATCGTCATGAGAAGTTTTGGATACTAATTGGGTGATTTTGAATTGATTTGGGGGTTCAATTTAGTGTAATCTAGTTCATGGTCAATTTTGAGGAATTTACGCTAAACTTCGATTTGGATTGGGCAAGGGTTTAATTTAGGCTCAATGGATGGTTCAAATTGGTCCAAGGGTATGTAGTGAAGAGTTTTGGATATCAATTCGGTAAAAATTTTGGAATTATGAGGTTCAATTTTGGAGATTTAGACTCTAGGGCAAATTGGGGATTTTAGATTGGGCTTGAATTTGAGCTTTATATGGGCTCAATTGGACTTAGTTTTGGTCTCACTTGAGATTGAATATGATGAATTTGAGTTTACAATTGAAATTGAGTGAAATTGAAGTCAATTTGGTGGAAATTGGGGGCAAAATTGCAGAAATTTAGACATTTAAGGGCAACTTAGGAATTTTGGTCAAAATGGGTCAATTTCATCAAATTGGGTTCAATGGAGTGGTTCAAATTGATTTTGGGGACATTTAGAGTGATTTTGGAGTTTTTGGGAAATTTTGGTATTTTTGGGGTTTGAAGGGCATTTTGGTAATTTTGGAGATTTTTGAGGTATTTTGAGAATTTTGAAAAATTTGAGTGATTTGGAATGGCATGAAATGATTTTTAAAGGGATTTTGAGAATTTAGGTAATTTTAGGAATTTCTTAGAAAATCTAGAGTTTAAGGACAATTTGGTAATTTGGTGAAGTTTGGGGTCAAGAAGGGTTAAAGTCGAGAATTTGGCAAAATTGGGATTGATTGAGGATGTTAATTATGAGGTCACCCTATTTGAGCCATGAGATCAAGGGAACTCCCATTATGGATCCTCCATATGCTGGTAGCCAAACCCTAGCCTAGGGCTAATGGTTTAGAGGACCATTCACATGAGTTTTTAATAGAGTAAGTGATCAAGCTAGGCATGTTTGGGTTAGATTTTTTATTGTGACTGCAGGTGATAGTGTGTGTGTGTGTCGGACTGACCAAGACCACATCACTCAAGGCTAACCCTAAAGCCAAACAGTCATTTAGGGACTTCTCTTGAGCTCTCCCATATTGGCTCCACCTACTAAGTGCTAGAGGTTAGAACCAATAGGTGGAACTTCAAGATGACCAAAGAAGAGTTTTAGAATTTCTAAAGGTGAGGGTCCTTTTCTAGTCCATCTTATAGGATAGTCAACAAAAAAGTCACATTGCCATATCCTAGGCTTCTAAGGAAGAAAGACTAGGCCTCAACCAAAAGTGAGGTCAACAGAGGGCACCAACAAAGTTGAGCTCAATTCTCTAATTAAATATGCATGCCTTTTATTCATGCTATATATATATATATATATATATATAGTTTTTTATATATATGTAGGATAAAAATATAAAGTGCTCCAGGTCTTAATATTTTCAGGCAACGAGGTCAGTTTAGGCAAAAATAAAGGGTTATTGATACACTTCCAACAAATCTCTATCATCTGGCATGAATCTCGAGACATGACATAGATCTCGAGGTGACTTTTTGAGTAAGAAGTATTCAAACGTCCAAAAGAAGTCATCCAGAACTCCAATTTCAGCAAACTTACAATCAAACTATCAGACTCGACAAGAATAACCCAATGTTACAAAAACTTGTCCAATCCAAACAAAATCAAACCCAGCATAAGTCATACATCGCTTTTGAAAGATTTCTCGACACATTTGAAAGGTTAAATGAATACTGATTCTGACGAGTCTGTTGTCAAATTGAGTGTCTTGACAAAACGAATCCAATGAGCCCAAAATCACTTAATTTTAACATCGTCAAGACACTTAAACGTTCATCAAATGACGTTCGGCCGATGGAAGCACTCTGTCTTTTGATCAAAGTGATTCATATTCTTGCATTAATTGCATTCAGAATTCTATAAATAGATCTCTACCCCTCTCATGAGTGTAGCAGGAGAGCTTGAGGTTTGAGAAAGAACTTGAAGCTCTGAGAAGAAGTTGAAGTGTAGCTCCACTCCTACTACCATCGACCACCGCCAACCATAGTCTACCACATCTGACGGCCGTCGACCACTGCCGACTCCATCGATCACCGCCAACAACCGTCAGCTGGACGCCGCCAATTACTATCAGTAGTCTTCGGTCGACGTTGTAACTTGGGAAACCTAGTAACCCTGCTCGCCTGAGGAAAAAGTGGTTGCAATTGTAATCATTTCTTCATAGTAGAACTCATCAGCTCGGTCAGACCTCGAAGTTTTTCGCTTTTTTTGTTTTCCACGTAAATAATTCTGATGTTATTATTAGCTGCTTTATCTTTTCTGAGTGTGTGCTGAATTTTTGTACGACGATGAGACGATAATCTGTTACTTTACTATCAGGAATTTTCTAGCACGATAAATGTTGAATCATGTTCATCTACTCATACTAACCCATGGATTATTACGTTACGTGATTACAGGAATAAAACCCCCAAATTATTAGAAATACAAATCGGCTGGCTAGATAATCAAACCATGAATATTTTTTAAACATAATTTTGTTTTGCAATGGTAGTACGGTGCAGATCAAATAATGTACTGAACAGCTAATACAAGCACCATATGGCTTTTCATAAATAGCAACATTTCTTCTTTTCGATAATCACCGAGTCCATAAGCTAACCTGCATATTGAGATTACGACAAATTCCGTATATTCCTGTATGAAGAAATCCATCTACGAAAACTCAATTGTAGTTGCAACACTTATAAATAAATAAATTTGAAACTGATAAGCACTAGACATAAACGAAAGCCGGTAACAGCATGACCATCCCCTAAGAAAAACAGAGTAAAACGGTATAATTTAGAGAAACCAATGCTATGTATTCCGTATGATACCTGCAAACTCTATTGCTAAAGCCTTTAGTTAGACCATACATAAATTTAGATACTCTGCTTCTTCTGCATAACCCCGTCATTACCCGCAAGAATCTGATACTTATCTTTTCTGGTAAGCATGGTGCATTCGAAGCCCAAACAACGACCAATCTCTTCTTGAGCACGATTCGCCACCTCGCAAGGACTGTATCTTGTTTTTCCAGCAGAGACTACGGAAATCTCATCAAGAAACTGCACTACATACATTGGCCTCGGATTCATAAGGAAATAGAAGGAATCCAACCATTTGAATCCGCAAGCCGTTGTGCCATAGAACATAGAGACTTGTACATTCAGCGCCACCGGTGTGATCTGGTCGGCCAATTCTGCGAACAACGGGCTGAAACGAAGCAGGTATGGCTCCCGACAAGTGGTTCCTTCCGGACAAACTACAAGATCTCCATGACTCAATAGCTTCTCCATTTTCTTTCGATCTTCCTCCTTATTTCTAGTCAGTCTTACTGTTTTTATGGGTGAAAGAATCTCAGAAATTGGACTTAAGCTGTAAACTACGGCAGTCACTTGTTTTTTGAGCGATACGGAAATGTAGACGGGATCCAGAAGCGTGCGGTGGTTGCAGATGAAAAGGCGCCCGCGTGTGGATTTGCTGCAATTGGTGTCTGTTTGGAGCCCGATTTTCTGTTGTGGTTGGAGTTCTGCGGCGGCATTTTTATTGTGGCGGTTAACCATGCCGGTGAGAGCACCAATTGGAATGGAGATGGAGTATGGGCAGAACATGCCGATAATGTGGCGAATGATCGAGAGGATGACACCGAAAGGAAGCCATAAGAACATGGCCAATGTTGCAGAAGGGGTGGGCAGGAACGCAATTCTGCCGTCGTGGAAGATTAAGGATTTTGGATATTTTTCTTGTGGTAGGGGGGGCAACCTGCTCTTCTCAGCTTCACTTATCCTATGGACTTCCTGCATGGAACGGAAGCTACAAAAATGATGTTGATTCTTTTTTCCTTTTTTTTTTTTCTGGAAATAATCAGCAGCAGATAACCTCTAAAAAAGAAATTTTACCGCATAATTTTTTTTAAACTAATTATATAAAAGAAATGTAATTAAAATGCCTTGCAATACTCATTCACGTTCATATTGGCAACTTTTATAACATTCACAACATTAATAATTTATTTTTAAGGCTTGAATCAAACGCTTCATCTCTTTGATTAATATTTTTTTCCCTTAAATATTATAAAAAAAAATGTTTCTCCGCAAAAAGAATAACATGTTTTACCTAATAATTTTCTGAGGTTCTCACATTTGACAAAGTATTAGGTACAAAATTTAAATGCATGCATGCTACTACAAATATGTCATGTTATACATCATTGTACCTATGTGTACACAACATGATTGAACAAAGAGTCCGTATATATGCAGACTTCGCACGTAATATTCACTTGCATTTGAGGTAACATTAAGAAAAAAAAAGGTACATGGGTAAACAATGTTAATCAATAGGTTAAAATTGTTTAGTTTTTTGGGAAATGGTTTACCATTTCTTGACGTTGGTTGTCCTTTAGGACAAAGTATTCCTTATATTAGATGAGGTCGACATCAAATGTGAGCAACAGAAGAAGTCAAAAGTGAGTGAGGGGAGCGTTTAAACAGGAACTAGCTCAACGAAATTTGAAAATTGTATTATAAAAGTTTAGCACATATTTATATAATAACATTGATATGATAGCATTCGAAATTGAAATGTAATTATAACTCCATTAATGAATACATTGCAAAAGTTAAAATTTAACTTAAAATTTAAGTGGGGAATCAAAATAGTGAAAAATAAAAAAATTATTGTTCTCGGGAAATATCAGTACTACAGATGATTCATACGATAACCTTCATCACATTTACGCCTTTATATTTTAGTCATTTCGATTAAAGTTAGAAATAAGAAATAAATTCAAAAATAGCAAATGAGTTTAATGACAGTTATCCAGTGCTGTCCGCTTTTCAAGTTGAATAATTACGCAGTCCAATCAGGAAGGGTTTGTCTCTCATTTTATGTTTAATAGTTTGTAGGATTAAATATCTGTCTTACTGATGAAATATTTTCAGAGAAAAATTTCATGACATTAATAAAACTAACAAAATTAGATTCAGGATATATTTAATGATAAATCATGTTTGTAAAAAATGTAAAAGAAAAATCAAAACCATACTTGTGGTCAACGATAAAACTTGATTCACATATTTTTTATTAAACTTAATCAAATTTGTGAAATAAATAGACAGCCATTGATTTCTCTAATTGCTATTGGTTTGTCTTGCAAATCAATGCCATGATTTGTAGAAGGCTAATAATTTTAATTTATTTATTCCTCTCCATCAAATTAATATGAGATAAAATTTGAAGAATAAAACAAAGAAATATAGCAAAGCAATTGATCCGTTTTTGTTAAGCGATGACGTCCTTATCAGGCCAAGATACTAGATAAAACCGCATAAGAAGTTACGATTATTAATACGAAGTCATGATTTCTGCTCTACAATATGGATATTATGCCGGAGAATATATAATATTATTACAACCAAAATTAACCAGTCATTTTCGTTTCATCTCCATTTAAAAGCTAGCAAATTGAATCCATTAAAAACCAGTATAACGGCAACTAAAAACTGAGTTTTTAAACATAATTCATGTTAACATCATGATGAATATAGTCAAATCAAGATGAAGCTACTGAAATTATGCTAGGAGTACAAAAAGATGAATAAAAGTTCAATGAAAAACTATAGATTTGCAAGAGGCGTTGCTCTGCAAGATTGGCAACCATAATCATTGTCGGCTAAAGATGGTAGTTCAAATTAGTTCAAATTAATCAACCTATTTTCTATGCGTTACGAGCATAAAAGAAAGTAATAGTAGAAAATTTATCTAAAGAAAAAGTTGACATTGCAATATGAGAATACCTTGTGATGTATATCTTCAAAAGAGCTGCCAAACCGTAAAGCGTCTTCACCATTAATCACCATAATCATTTCTTCCCTTTTCCAATCCATAAAACCAGTATAAAACCCACAAAACTCCTTTAACTCCCTCCCAATCACTACCTCAGTCTCCATATAATCTTTCAAAAAGCTCTCCACCATAACCTTAGGCATGTTGCTCACCCCCATCCTCCTTCTTCCGCTTCTCAACACCTTAATCTCTTCCTCGCCTATATGCTCCATAAAAAACTTGAACAAAGCAACCCTTGCAACCCTCAAATTCTCCTTTTTCACACCAAAGAAGCAGACAAGCACCATCATCTTCAATCCTGCTTCATTCTTCATGCAACATACCAAAGGGTAGAGAAAGAGAAGGAGGAGAGATCTAAATAAACTGCAGGCTTCGAAAGCCACAACCATAAAGTATGGGAAGGCGGAGGAGGATTTCAGAAGCCAGCCTTCGAAGTTAAAGATTAGCGTTTGTGACGGGAGAATTAGGATGCCATTTGTATGGAGAGAGGAAGGAGAAGCATTTTTAGGTGAATTTGGAATGGAGTTTGTACGTTGATGATGGAAGAGGGATTTGGTGAGGAGTTTGAAGAAGCGATTGGAGAGACAGAGGACAGAGAGGGAGCAGGACCTAAGAGGCATTTTTTTTTTTTTGTTTGTTTTAGCTGGCTGAGTAATTTGTGAGTAATTTGTTGTTCTTCTTTGTTTTTGGGGGAGACATTTATAAGGAAATGAAAGTGTATCCTCTCAATTTTCAATTATTTACAACAGTGCCACTTGGGGTTTTGCGTGTGAAAACAGATGAATTCTCGTGTGCGTTCACGATTTTAATGGAGTTTATGTGGTCGAGTATTGGCTGAAGTAGTTAGCTTACACATTGAAATTATATATATATATATATATT